GGAGTCCGGACAGGCAAACAGCCAATTCACGTCATCCCAATGAGCCATCAATAGTAGGCCCATTTTTTTTTTTAAACTTCAGTTGACCTAAAAATATCTCTGTTATTGTGCTTCCATCACTTCTTGTTGGTATTGGTACGGTGGACTCTACGATCATAGCAGAAAACAATGGGAAGACAAGGAGATGGGGGAGGCAGAGATATTCTAAGAAAACCTAGGGTTAGGGTTATATGATAGTCTGATCTGGGAGGAAGTGTCACAACACCTCTCACAAGTGATAACTACGTCACCTGGAACCATGCCATACCATGGCTCTCTCAGTTAAGAACAAACTTGGGTCTGTTAAAGGGAAGCATAAAGAGACCAAAGGATTCTGAGGCAACTTATCTTGCATGGCTACATGTGAACAAGATGGTTCTTTCGTGGATCCTAAACTCCTTACACAGGGACTTGGCTCCTAGTGTACTGTATACTGACTTGGCTCTCATAGTTTGGACGATCTCCACGATCGTTTCTCCCTCAGCAATGGACTACAGATTTATCCACTACAGCGACCAATTACTACAATGCAAGACTCTTCATTAGTGGCATCCTATTACAACACTCTCAAAGGGTATTGGCTATTGGGGACGAACTTGCCACGTAGCTCTAATACACTAGCATTTGCCTTTTCAAAATAGACTATTCTTATCAAATACTCAAACACAAATTCAGATTTGCTCCTCACAGAGTGCGCCTCATACCAACCTTAAACCATTTTCAGCTGTGCATTGAGAACATCTCCCATATTTAATTCATGGGAAGATGTTCATGGCTGCAATGGATTGTGAGGTTGGTGTAACATATGCTCTGTATGGAGCAAATTTGGATTCGTCAAACACATTGTTGGCTTTCTAAAGAGAGTATGGATTAAGCTTCAAAATATTGATATAGGTCGATACGCCGGTAGGGGTGTATTGGCATGTATTGAGGCTCACTTCTTTTTTTTTTTTAGTTTTTTGTTTTTCAATCTGGTTCAAAGGGGTCGATCTACTCCCTGAACCAGATCAGACCCCAAAACACCCACAATAGGGGCATATCAGGAATCCACTAATATAATACATATCAGCCAATATGGTCCGATTCGTATCAAAATTTTGAACCTTGGTATGGATTCAGTCCTCACAAAACTATCCTCACATGTACTCACAGCACATCAGGAACATCTCCATATTTTTATGTTTTTATTCATGGGAGATTCCCAATACACAACTTCATGAGCACGGTGTGAGAACGATTGTGTGGAGTTCGCGTTTGAACCCCACAGGTGCCCCACATGCACATCTCAGCATGCATTGAGAACATCTCCCCTAACTTTCCAACACGATTGAGATTTGCTGTGGGGTGCGCTATGTGGGGCACAGATGCAAATCCGGTTCTGTGAGGACTGAATCCAAATTCTTTCAAAACACCTAATTGGAGGCATTCCTCAAAGGCTGACGCGGTTAACTTTGGACTGCGAACTATCACCTTTTGTGGAATGGACATCAAAAGACAAAAGTTACAGGTAATACCAATTTTTTAATTCTACTGTTGTTAGTACAGTCATTCATTCATTTTTTTGATAGAAACCGAAAGGGGGCTACACAAGATGGGGGGTAGCACGTCCCCACAAATCCAACATACAAATAAAAGCTAAATTCCATGGAATGTCACTTAGATTGAGACTTATTGTACCCCGTTGAGAGGAAAAGGTTTGATTGGCAAACCAGTCCACCGCTTGATTAATTAGCTTCCCAATACCCGTGATTGTAGACAAATTCTTAATTTGCATGATTCTTCAATTCTAGACACTCCTCAATGCTGTTCCACAGATTCCAGGTGAGGTCAATGAGCTGCTTCAAACAGGATATCATGAGCAAAGAGTCACCTTCAATGATGATGAAATGGCTTGAGAAATTCGCTGCCAAGTTGTGGGCCTTCCAAGCAGCCCATGCTTCTACCAAGTTAATGGTTGAAGAACTTAAGTGGTAGGCCTTGTAATTTACCACCTCTCCCATAAAATCTCTAGCTATGTTTGCAAGACCGCATTTTATGCACCGGATGAGTGCACCCACCAATCACGTTCGGCCACATTAAATGAGTGTTACCATCAATTGATTCTGTCCGGTTCAATCAGATGCAAAAAGACAAAAACTTTCATTTTCCCTTCACACGAATTCGAACTCCCACACCTCCAGCAGTGAGAAGCTAACCCGTGCCCCTGTGAATGACGAAGCCACCGGCGGCGAGGGATAAATCATTCAGCCTCTAGTCCATACGTCTTCTTCCTCTCTCTCCTCTTCTTCTTGTGTTGGTTGGGTGATTTGAACCCTACCTATTCGGCCGTTCCACTACATAGCCGGGGTCTGTGGCAAGAACTCAAATCTTCCAGACACGAAATTACATCACTAAAATTCCTCCTTCCCTACAAACTCAGCAAAGAAGAGTGAGCATGACTTGGCATTCACCCTATTACCAGTGAAGAAGAATGAGCCATGGGGGAGTCAGCAATGTAAAATGGTTTGATTGGGAGACTCACTAGAAAAATACAAAGAAGTCGTTCATTCCTCCTCCTCCATGGACATGGTGTTCAGTGTAGACAAACGTTGTTCATTCGTCACTGCCAAATTTAAACCAAAGCAGAGAAACGCCAAGTTTCAACCCTCCTTTGTCCCATTGGTCAGATCAGATGAGTATCCTGATACCATCACTCACCGAACATCTGTCAACCAACCCACCTCTGTCTCTATGCCCTCTCTCTCTCTCTTCCCAACCTCTCTACTGTTATGGCCTATCTCACCGACCCTTTGCATCTCTTGACGCATTTCTCTCATCTTTTACCCATTTGTGCTTCATACATTGGCCATCATCGCTATCTCTTTCTCTCACGGTGGGATTCACTTATGTTGATGATGACCTTCGTTTTCACTCGTAGATGCAAGGGGTGGGGGAGTGCTTCGAATCCCCAGTTGGTTGTTGCCGTCGTTGATTGGTGTTGGTTGCCGATGAAAGGGAAAGCTAAATCATGTTTTGTGGTCGATTCAACTAGTCGAACCACTGGTAATGGGAGAAAGTCTCCGTTAATTCATGGTTAAGATGGATGAGATGACGTGTTCACCTCCCATTCGAGGGTGCACTCGTCCAATGCACCCATGGGTGCACAGAATGCAGACTCTGTGTTTGCAACTGAGCACATCCCATTATTTAGCTAGGACGCATCAAAGTTAATTTTGATAGGACCAACTTTTGGAGGTTGCCAAACAATGTACTTCCACATTTATTCATTTAATCACAGGCTATCAGACCATCCACCAGAGTAACATACAATGGTAATGCTCCATCCTGGTTCACCATTGGTCAAAGGATCTGCTCTCTAGGTTAACATAACAAGGCCATAATGTAAATTTGATGGCTCAGTTGTTCATGCATTACAAAGAGCAACTAGTATCCATCTAGTAGGACCATTTACCAGGAAGGCACGAATCTTGTCGATGATGAATGATGATCTTATAAATTGGTAGTGTCCAAGGCCAAAGGATTTGGGTCCCTCCCGCCCATAACTGGCCATGTGCCTTGTTTTAGTGTTTTTCACCCATATCAAGGCCAACCAATGAATGGGTCCCAACCAAAAATATCAATTTAATCAGATGACCCCTTAGTATGTGTTTGGTATAGCTTTCATTTATTAAATAAACGTTTGTACTTGATTTGTCTTCAAAACCGAGAAAAGTACTTAATAAACTGTTTATTGACAACTAAGCGCCATTAGGCACCACATCAATGGAACAATGAATAAATACTCAACTGTTGGGGGAAGCGTTAAAATGAAACTTTCCCCAACAGTTGGTGTGCACATTAAAAAAACCCACTTTTGTGAATATCAATGCGTACGAATAAACATATGATGAAAAAAAAAATGTTGATTTGGTGATGACATGGCGGCATTTTGATAAATGTCTATCACGAAACATCCACAGAACAAAACACACTTAATAAGCCAGGTCCAACACTCACCCCTAGGCAAGGGTATTTTTAGTCTTACTAGTTACTTTATTTTTAAGGGGTGTTTGTTTTGGGATTTTGAGAGAGGGAAAAGGTGGTCAACAAGATTTTGGTTTTCATTGACCAAGAAACTCATGTTCTTTTATCAGATTTATGTAGGGATCAAGGAATGTTTATTTCCTTGCATCACTTACCCATCTCCCAAGTGGGTAAATAACTTACCCACCTATGAGAAAATTACCAACACTTAGATGGGACAAAAATACCATTTTTAATAATAGATTCCTATGATTAAAACAGCCATTGCCTTATTTACCTATAAAATAAAATAACATGGGTAAGTGCATTTACCCAGGTAAGTAACTTACCGAAAAATGAATGAGCCTTAGGGTAAATTGCTGAAATCTCCCTCGAAGTTTGTGACAGCTTCTAAAACTCCTGAAGTTTAGTAATTACAATCAACTCCCCTAAACTTTCTTATACGGTTGCAAGTAGACACAATTACTACTGATGTTGGTTTCTAAAAAGGCAATACAAACTTTATGAACAATAAAAACAAAGAGAATTTAAAGTTGAAGCCTTTTGAGTGATTGATTTTATGGACAAATTTGAAAAATAAATCAATTTTACAAAAGATATTGGAAGGGTTTGGGGTAGTGATTCATATGAGAGAAAATTTAGAATATAGACATTTTTTGTCAAAAGCACCTGCATCGGTATTTGACATTTTCATACCTCTTTTTAAAAGATTCTATCAGAGGGAGTCTACTTACAATTGTCAGAAAGTTCAGGGGCGACGATTGCAATTATCAAACTTTAGGAGAGGTCTTAGCAATAACCAGAAATTTCAGAAGAGGTTTCAACAATTTACCCTTATTTTTATCCTGACCTGACGAGAAATAATGGTCCTTGTTACATTCAGGAATCAGGAGAACTCTTTTCCTATCAAAAAAAATAAAAAAACACAAAACAAAAACTCAGGATAACTCTTTAGGGATGTTGATTATTTCTTCAAAGCCTGGGATTCAAATTCAAACCCCACCCACACTGGGGGTGCCCGTGTTCATCTTGCAGTCCAAAGTCTCAACAACCGAAAGAAAAGGCACAAGTAAATGTATGTACAGAGTGCCAAGTAAAACTAATAAACAGAAGAACCTGGATATTTTTTCCCAATAAATAAAGCCTTGTGCGGCCTTGGGTTTGTTTTACCTGAATATCTGAAGCTAAAATGTCATGTACAGATACAGACAGTTAAATGGATGCATAAACTTATGCACCTAGGGATCCGCATGGCCGGCTACTCCCTCATCACTGGAAGCATATTCATCTTCACTCAGTTCTTCATCACTGGATTGGTCCTCCACTGCAGCCCCAACGTTTTCTGGCTTCGCATACTTCTCACAATATTCTGGTCCTCGTAAATGTGAAGCCAAGAAGCAGAACTCAGTAAGCAATAAATGGAACATTTCTAGCACCAAAAACATTGAAAGTGAAATCAGATTAACTGAACATGATGGCTGTGTACTAGGCTGTGGAACCAAAGATAATGCCCCATGCCAGTCATTAAATGACAATGGCCCACAACCACTCTCTCTCACTTAGTATTTATGCTGTTGTGGAGCGTTGTCATTGGTTCCACAGCTGGCTTCACAGCCATCGCATTCAGCTAATCCAAATTCATTAAAAGCACATCCAAGAAGCTCTGGCAATGTAACAATGTTTAACTTCAGCATGGCATTCGATGCACAGAAGTTACAGTTACACACAAGAAAAACCTTCTAGATCAAAAATGGGTTGAGGCATTGTAAAGGAAGATGCAATGCTGCTTCGTAAAATGTTGCAATTTAATCACTACAGGGAGATCAATAATATTTGCAATTATTGAGGTCCAAGTCTATATTTGTGAACCATGAGGTGAACCACCAAAGCCAAACAAAGAAGAAACAAGGAAATATAATGCCACAAGATATACCGTTTCTCTAGCAAAAGAAAAAAACACATGTACCATGGGAAACCTCTTAGCATGACCTCCTTTGGGTATCCCAGAGAGCTGACAATGCAATGATTCTTTATTGGCAATTCCAGATCCAGTTTTAACAATGTCAAATAGCTCCTTTTTAGTTTTCTATAAAGATAGGGAAGCCAGTTTCATATTACCAATCTATTTTACAAAGTTATACAACTTTACTGTTTACATAAGCATTTCACTTCAGATGAGGATGCAAATCAACTTGTATACAAAAACAAACAACGAGGCAGTGCCAATCAATTTAAAGGTCTCATACACAAGCAAATGTCTAAACAACCTTGATTGTCATCCAGAAGTTGAAAGCATCTTGCATCGATGCTTAATACTGCAACTGTAAGCAAAAGAGGCATATATCAGTTCTGTTGATAAATTCCAGACATTTTTATGTTCCCCAGGTAAGCAACTATTGAGGTCATTAACGATATTCGAGTCTCTCCATTCAGGATGACATGCAGTGATAGTCACACGTAATGGCCTAGATTTACATTAAGCCATTAGCTAAGATGACATTAGTGAGCTTAAAGAAAGAGCTCGAAATATACTTCACAACTCTAAAGGGATTTACTTTTTATATCCTTTGAAGGGCTACACAATGGAGGGTAGCCCATCCCCAAAACCCAGATGCAGGCGGGATTTGACCCCAACTATAAAGTGATTGAGGGGCAGAAATTTAACAAGTCAAAAACTAGAAAATACTGCAAGTCGGGTTACCTACTCAAAGAATTTCAACTACATCGGGCTTGGGCTTATATCAAATTCCCAACCCAACTCAACCCAAGTTGCACCCCATGAAAATAGGACTCCTAACAGATTTGAGCATTTGAAGGTAGCATTATTATAAAATGGAAGTGCTTTTATAAGAAAAACATAAGCATGTCAAGAGGATTAGAAAGTAGGAGAGTGGGAAAAAAATGTAGGAGTTACAAAGTATAGATCTAAATCAAGAAGATAGACAGTAAGATTTCATGCAAGTAACAATTTGTAGGTTGAAGACATTTTCTCCTCTTGTTTTTAAATTGATAACTTACAGTAATTTCCGTCTAAAAATATATTACAGTTTTCTATATTCTATCTAGGTTAGACTTCACAATGGGAACCTACTTAGCATGTGAATAAACACTACAACATGCGACTTGTTTTGCTTTAACCTCACTCTTGAGAAGAACATAAATGATAATTTTAACCAAAATGGTCATAAAATTTTTTCAGATGCTACTCTATGGGGAGGAAAACCTTCATTATGGAATATAAGGGACCTGCAACTTGACATATCTTTTCCACCTTAAAATTTTATTTGATGCTCAACCTTGCATGACTGCTCAGAAGAATTAGACAAACTTTAAAGATCAATAATCAATCAACTGTGGGAAAAGTCCATGAAATTTGAAAGTCAATAAACTCATAATCCAAGCCATATGGCCCTTAGTTGTTGGTTACACGAATCCTGTTGCCATTTCATTCTGCTGAATGCCATACCATTGTTAAAAACCTCTCGTGTGCGTGGCACACTGGCTTGTCTCCCAAAGTAAAAAATCATGTGGAATTCAAGTTTCTCCTAAGCACAAAGTGAAGTTCCAATCTTCAACAAGCTACAATTACATCTAGAGATTTTCTCTGATAACTACATAATTATAAACAAATTTCAGAGGGTATTCATTGACAAAAAATATCCAGCACCCAGATACCCAAAATTTTGATAGTTACGGTTGACATCCTAGTTGATAGTTCCTCCTATAATGAAGGTTTTCCTCCCCATACAAAGAATGTTTGACTTAACATAGTTCACTTGCAAACTCTCTCTTGAATTCCTAAGTTGGGAGTGGAGAGACCAGAAATCCATAATTACTCAATTGGCATGTAGCTAATATAGCCTCCAATAATGAAGCCTTTTCTCCCACTATGAAGAATTCTATGGCTTATCAATGCATCTTAGTTTAATTGTTAACCTTTTTTAGAAGATCTCTCAGCCAGAGATGACACAAAGAGGAAGGTGTTATTTCCGGGCACAGAACTTCCATGACCAGGAAATCCTGAACTGTTACTATTGGTGTATTAGTATGTTTTCTGTATTGTTTGAAGAACTCTCATGTTGTTGTCTTCTTTGTACCTCCTTTGGCTGGGTCTGACAATTGACAAGGATAAAGAAAGATGCTTGAAATCTACTTCACAACTCTAAAGGGATTATTTTTATATCTTTTGAAGGGCTACACAATGGGGGGTAGCCCATCCCCCAACCCAGGTGCAGGCGGGATTTGACCCCAACTCTAAAGTGATTTGAGGGGCAGAAATTTAACAAGTCAAAAACTACAAAATACTGTGAGTCGGGCTACCTACTCAAAGAAGTTCAACTACATCGGGCTCGGGCCTATAACAAATTCCCAACCCAACCCGACCCAAGTTGCACCCCATGAAAATAGGACTCCTAACAGACTTGAGCATTTGAAGGTAGCATTATATAAAATGGAAGTGCTTTTATATGAAAAAACATTAGCATGTCAAGACGATTAGAAAGTAGGAGAGTGGGAAAAAATGTAGGAGTTACAAAGTATAGATCCTAAATCAGAAGATAGACAGTAAGATTTCACGCAAGTTACAATTTGTAGGTTGAAGACATTTTCTCTTCTTGTTCAAGATTGATAACTTACAGTAATTTCTGTCTAAATATATATTACAGTTTTCTATATTCTATCTAGGTTAGATTTCACAATGGGAACATACTTAGCATGTGAATAAACACTACAACATGTGACTTTTCTCTATAAACATCAAATCTTGCTTTAACCTCAGTCTTGAGAAGAACATAAATGATACTTTTAACCAAAATGGTCATAAAATTCATTCAGATTCTACTCTATGGGGAGGAAAACCTTCACTATGGAATATAAGGGACTTGCAACTTGGCATATCTTTTCCACCTTAAAATTTTATTTGATGCTCAACCTTGCATGGTTGCTCAGAAGAATTAGACAAACTTTAAAGATCAATAATCAATCAACTGTGGGAAAAGTCCATGAAATTTGAAAGTCAATAAACTCATAATCCAAACCTTATGGCCCTTAGTTGTTGGTTACACGAATCCTTTTGCCATTCCGTTCTGTTGAATTCCATACCATTGTTAAAAACCTCTCGTGTGCGTGGCACACTGGCTTGTCTCCSAAAGTAAAARNTCATGTGGAATTCAAGTTTCTCCTAAGCACAAAGTGAAGTTCCAATCTTCAACAAGCTACAATTACATCTAGAGATTTTCTCTGATATCCACATAATTATAAACAAATTTCAGAGGGAATTCATTGACCAAAAATTTTGATAGTTACAGTTGACATCCTAGTTGATAGTTCCTCCTATAATGAAGGTTTTCCTCCCCATACAAAGAATGTTTGACTTATCAATGTTCACTTGCAAACTCTCTCTTGAATTCCTAAGTTAGGAGTGGAGCAACCAGACATCCATAATTAATCAATTGGCATGTAGCTAATATAGCCTCCAATAATGAAGCCTTTTCTCCCACTATGAAGAATTCTATGGCTTATCAATGCATCTTAGTTTATTGTTAACTTTTTTTGAAGATCTCTCAGCCAGAGATGACACGAAGAAGAAGGTGTTATTTCTGGGCACAGAACTTCCATGACCAGGAAATCCTGAACTGTTACTATTGGTGTATTTGTATGTTTTCTGTATTGTTTGAAGAACTCTCATGTTGTTGTCTTCTTTGTACCTCCTTTGGCTGGGTCTGACAATTGACTCTTTTCAAAAGGCACATGCCTGGGCTGAGGCGCAAGGTGCATCGGGCGCACACCTAGACGCACCAGGCATGCACCTTTTGAAGTGCTGCACGTAGGACCTAAGCAAGGTGCATACCCTAAAATGCACCTCACCTTTGCATCTAGGCACGCCTGAGGCATGCCTTTTAAATCACTGTTTTCACCATTAATTGAAGCTCCAAATCTGTCAACTTCATTGATCAACAACTCTTAACTCAAGGTTTCCACCACAAATCTATCTTCATCTTTATGAACTAAGAGTGATTTTATTCTTGGTCTCTTTCCATGAATTTACACTATAATCTATGACACAAGATACTATCTCTGATAAACATATTTAGAAACATATCTGACCCTCGAAGCATCTTTCAAGCTCTTAGACAGAACTCTCTTCTTGACAAGCAATGAGAGGCAAACAGAAGGCAAGCTCAAAAATGAAGTACATTGCAAAGACATAAGGATATCTGAGGAAACTAATAGCATGACTATTCCATGCTTTAATAACCCATATCATTCAATGTTGCAAGAATAAGATAATCAATGAATGATATTATCGCTGTAACTCTTGAAGGTTATAAGATAGGAACCCCATCCTTCACATTGAAATATCCCAAGTAGGGATGCTCAACAAATTGAACCAAACCAAAAAAATACGGTTAACTGAACTGATTGGTATATATATATAAAGAATTGAGAAACTGATCAATCAGTTAACTGATTGATTCTAGTTGGGTTTCAGTTCCCAGTTTTTCAAAAACTGGTGGTACCGGTTCAGTTTCAAAATTTAGCTCATGGTTTGGTTAACCAAATTGTGAGCACTAACCCCAAGAGAACTCAGGTAGAGAGCATTTGAAATTTTCTCAATTATTTCAGATAGGTAGAAAATTCTATGGTTGTTGCATAAGAACCAACCATGCTTGTCAAGAGAAGTGAATGGTGAAAAGTGAAAGCCATGTAACATATCACCTACATGACAATGAAGTGGTACATGGTCAAATAAGAATAAGAAAATACAAGCGTGTATGAATAGAAGAAATGATCTGTTACAAAGTTCAAGAGGAGAAAGAAATAGGAGCAAACCAAAAAGCAAATGCACTGAACAGAATAAAATGGCAGAACAGCACACTTGACACACTCTAGAACAACATGCTCAAAGAATCATGCCCTCCACCTCCACCACCACCACCACCCCATCTATTTGCATTTGAGAATTGAGAACTATCTTTAGCAATAATGGAAAGAAAAAAAATCTTCAAACCTTGACTCTAGAAAAAAGGATTAGAACTTCTAGCAAATGAGAGTTTGTATTACAAATGTCTCAAGACCATACCAAATGCATTTTTGGCCCCAATGCTCTTGGATTTCCCTAAGAAAACCCGTTGAAATTTAACTAGTTGGTATCATAAGTAGAACCAAACCAAAAGGTTCTTTATTGAAAAGGAAAAGTTTTAGCATCAATCCGCCTTTTAAATGCATATCTTGTTCCACTCAAAGAGAATGCCTAACCTTTCGGGACCACTGAAAAAATAAAGGTTGCAATGAAGAAGATAGTTATTTAGAAGTTGAACTGGAGACCACTCAAAGAGAATGCCTAACCTTTCGGGACCACTCAAAGAGAATGCCTAACCTTTTGGGAAAACTGGAGACCAGAAAGTCCTTAGTTCAGTGGTTTATATAAGCCAGCAGTTGAACTGCTAAAAGAATGGATCAGACTCCTTCCTGGTTTCCTGCCCCATCCAGGTTTTCAAAAAGTGCATGGAAACAAGTGAAAGAACCTGACTGTTAAAAGAAGGCCAATACCCTACATTGGTCCCAGCCATCCCCAGACTTTTGATAGGTCAACTGGACATGGACCCAAACTTCGGCATTTTTTAGCACAAAGTGGCCACTCCCAGACTAGAACCAACGTATCATGCTTGTCAGCCTGAGATTTTACCATCACACCTGAGAGAAAGAACCTTAAGGTTCCACAACTCAAATTCTACAAAGTATAATTCTCATCCAAAATACTCGTATAGAGTTATACTATCCTAAAGTAAGATATAGAAACCACAACAAATCAGCATCTCTAGTGCTTAATACAAAGTGAAGTTCCAGAACAAAACTAAAGGACTTAGAAACAAAGTGTCAGTATTAATCCATTGTCTCATCATCATCTAAGCCTTGTCCCAAACTATATGGAACAGAGAATATGAATGGAATTAATGAACTTCCCAAGTTCTTGAGCAAGAGCAAGATTACCAAGATAACAACATATCATAATTTTGTCCAGATAGTAAATATACTTCAAGATACAGCAAGGGATTTTACAATAGTGCTTGGATGTACTCCAGGAATGATAATGGATCAGATTTAGAAGTCCTAGTGTCCCCACATTTGTGTTACCAGTGAACCTCTTAAAAGCAAATATAGAGTTGTGCCAAAACTAACATCCTTTTTTTGAGAAGGGCCAAAACTAACATCCTAATTAATATTTAAATGACTAACAAATTAACCAAAAAATAAAAAAACAAAAGAACGAAAAAAATAATAATAAGTTAGACCAAAATTGAGTGTAGGAAAATTTGACATGTATTAAAATTTGCTCAGTTTTGCAAATCAGTAAATGTTTACAATAGGTACAAAATGAAATCTAATTAAGACTACACATCTTGAATGTAAAAGAAAAATGAATTTCAATACAACCATATTATGGGAAGATTTTTCTTTGAATTTCTTTTTCCAACTTGGAAAGGAATTTCTCAATTATTATTGTTCTAAATATACAGAAAAGCTATAATAAATGGGTTTTCAATCAGGTCACATTAACATTGCAGCAAAATAATCAGACAAATTGAACTTTGGGAAGGGTAACCACCTTTGACTCTTTGTTCATATGCAGTTCGATCACGCATCATGAGAGCTGCAGCCTCTCCATTCAATGGATCTGATGGATTTGGATACAAAAGAAGTTGTGGAAGGAACACTTCAAACACATTTACCAGATCTAAGAAGAAGCATCAACGTCAACAACTGAGTGCAATTGTATTAATCCATAAAATTAAAAAGCAGCAAATTTTCCAATAAAATGCTTCTACAAAGCCATAACAATCCTATATGCATCACAGAAATAATGGTTAAGATTTTTTACCGAACATGGGGCTCCAGGTCTGGTTGATTACATCCAAACAAACTGATCCTGACCTGAAATTTAAAGCCATCAAGATAACCATATAAATGAAATGGTGAAGCTGAAAAATAAATGCATTTTGTATACCATCCATGGGCAAAACTTAATGAAAACACTCAAACAAAAAAAAAACGCATAGTTATCAATGTGCAGTAACTCACATTTCATCTACGTTGGGGTGATAGATCTTGGTAACAAAGCCAATTGATGGAGATTTATATGGATAAGCATCTGGAAGCTCTACTCTGATCCTCCACACACCCCCTTGATAAGGACCTGTTGCAACCCACAAGTAATGTTCTTGAATTCACTGAATAGTATGGGCAATCAAATAATTTAAAGCTGATGTAACTATATAGCAATACCAAGAACTGAAGAAATTAATAGTAAAAGAGCCCATTGGCTAGAAGGGTTCTAAATTCATATTATAAACTAATAAAGTAATGACAACGAATAACAAGAAAAGCAACTTAATAGAACACTTACAGTTGCCTATATTTTATTTCTCTTCATCAGAACAGAAAACAAATGTATAGTTTTGAGCATCTATTGCTGGACAAATGGCTGAACCAAAGAATTAAAATTTAAGAGCCTAAATCAAACTCTAAAAAATAAAATAAAATTTCATTCCGAAATTCACAGTAAACAAAGGAAAGAAGTAAAACACAAATATAAATATCGACTACCGTCCTTCTAAACTGATCAAAATAATTACTGTCCCAAACAAAACCAAGAAGCAGCCTTCGTTTTCGAACATCCAGTGATGGCCAACATGATCGAAACAAAAAACTCACCACAAAAATAACAGAAACCCAGAAAAGGAAATATATGAAAACGCTTATATGTCTTATTAGTGACGAAAATAACATAATAAAAAGGGGAAAAAGCATCTGGCGTGGAAAATTTACTATCACTGGGTCCATTGAAATCGACATAAAACTCTTGCATGCCATCGTTGATCATCTCTACCTTGTAATCGCTCATCATCCTAGCAGGCAAAAAATAAACAAGAAACAGAGTCAAAATTACCAGCAAAGTAAGAAAAAAAAAAGACAGAATTAAGAAGGATAGTTGAAAATCTTACAATTTCATCAGGTCCATCTCTCGGCGTTTACTCGGGGAAGACATTTTGTTGTATCAGAAATTCAGAATCTTTCTAGTCTCAGAGGAGAGAAAAGCTCTTTGGCAACAGAGATAGGAGCACAGGCGGTTCAGACAGAATGAGAGAGAAGCAAGGAGATATAAAGCCAATTATTATTATTTTTTCTTTTTTCATCAGATTCCTACACGACTCGTCTAGCAAAACCCATCTCCAAGATTAAATTAAAATTAGAAACCAATAAAAGAATGGCCTGCATTTCCAAGATTCCTCAAAATCTTTACTCTCTTCCCTATCCTGCCCCCTCTGCACTAACACAAATCATTAGTTCAAGTTGCTCATGGCTAATCTTTCATCGTCGTCGTCGTCATCATCATCAATGAAGCCAAAACGCCATAGTTGATTGTTCATATCACAAATCATGTTGCACCGTTGGATGGGCATCATCTAGAAACAGATGGAAGAAATCTGAAATACGTCCGAGAAGTGTGTGGATTGATGAGTTTGTTTGATTCTATGTAGCAACAACTGGCATCTTTATGCGTATTTCATTGATGGGTGGTCAAATTAAAGCCTTATCTTACTAGGATGTACATCCGGATTCTAATCCAACAGTCTCGTGTTTCTCACCCACTGGAGTACAGAGAGATGCAGCGTTGTTTTAAGTTATCTGTGCTTATTCACTGGGAGGTTTGAAGAGTGCCGTCCTTATTTTACGACGATATTGAGATTTGCTGTTTTGAGTGAGTGCTGTGGGAATTCGGTTCGGTGTGTTATCTAGAAGACTAATTAATAACTCTAGATCAGGCCATCAGCTACGTAACTCAATCAAGAGCAGGTACATTGACGTGTTCACTGTACGTAGCCCATTGTACACATTGTGTTTCCTAGCATTCATCATATGTGATTTGGATTGGGAAAAGCCTGAAAAGGCCTGTTTGGTTTCTCAATTTTTATAAATATATTTTCATTGGTTTGTTTTGAGGGCACCGAACCACCGACGCCTTTTTCGTTTCAACAAATAAAATAAAAATAGGGTAAATTAGAAAGAACGCATGCATTATAAGGTTACTGACAATTACCCCATTTTTGCAACAAGAGCACCTGAACTTTCATTTTTAGACAAATACCCCTGTGTTAAAGTTTCATTTGTTAAATTTCGAAAAATATTAATTTTTTTAAATCCTCAAATTACCCTTTTTTTATTTATTTGCTCTAATATCTTGCAGATTTTTTATTAGATTCAATAGCCATATGAAATGATAGATAGAGGTTTCTTTTCTAGTAGATATAAATTTAAAGTTTTATTTGTTTTTTTTTTCTTTTTGATTTCTTGAGAAAGGAATAGATAATTTTTATGTTTTAAGATAAAGAGAGACATATTCGTGTCAATTATATGAAACAATAATAATTTAAAAAACATGTTTTTCTATGTCAGTGAAATGATATTTGTTATTTTAGTTGATTTTGTTTGGAGAAAATGAAGGTATTTTGTGTGAATTAGGGTTTAAGAGAAGAGGTTGAGGAAAAAGGAAATAAGGAAAATTCATGTGGGTGTTTTGATGATTTATACATTCGGCCATGAGGTCTTTAATTTGTAAATTACCCATAAAAATATTGTCACTTTATTTATTTTGTCTTTTAATGATAAATAAATTATTAAGGATTTTATGAGTTCTTTGATGGGTTTAGAAGTACAATACACTCAAACATTTTATTATATAATCATTTTATTTTATCTACTAAAGCAAAGCAATGAGTTATTCAGTTCAGATAATTCAGCCATTACATAATGGTCCCTAATTCATTCTATTTTTTTTCAATCATTCAAAACAAGTCAGAATTTGTTGCACATGGCTTGTTAAAGAGTTCACATCTCCGCCCCACAGCACATCTCCACCATGTATTGAGAACATCTCCCGATGATGACATCATCTGATCTGGTACTATCATCAGGAGATGTTCTCAATACATGGCGGGGGAGTGCCGTGGGGCATTATGGGGCGAAGATGTGAACTCCTTGTTAAATGTTGTACATGCAATCAAATCCTAGCACCTGCCCTACATTCATGGGAAGGTCCTTTTCACTCTTTTCTTAATCATGGGAAGGCATGTTTAGGTTCTATCTCCTAACCTTATCCCTCTAGTCAATGATCCAAATTATTGATATTGAGCATCTAATCACTATAATAGTCTTTTTTTTTTATTTTTTAGACTAATAATGTGCAAATACATACTTTGCAAATATATTTATATGTTTGTGAAGATGAATATATATTAGCTTCTGAATTAGTGGATTAGTTAGGAATTTTTTTCTAGTGGAGTCATTCAATAACTTGTATCAAAAATATTTTTCATGCATTAAATTATTTGATTAAAAGTAACAAACATAATTTAAAATCTTCAAAATACAAATATAAATAAAAAAGAGGCTTATTACATTAATCACACTACTTCAACAAAAATAAATAAATAAATGCCATTTTATAAGTGTCCTTGAGAATTTTATATCTTAAAACAAATAATCTAGATATATGTACAAAATAAACCTATAAAAATATAATTCCAGTGGCTCAGTTTAAAAGGGATACAAATATAAATATGTGGAGTGCAAAACCTTGTATTTTGTATATTTTTGTATTGTACATATTTATATTTGTATTCTTCCCAAACTGAACCAGAAGGGAAAATTGAAAGCGTATGGATTTATTAAGTCAAGTACACAATTGTAAGTAAGAAAATTAGAGAACTCATACTTTATCTTTCTCAATTCTATAATTGTGATGCTTGTAATTAAATTAGTGTGGTAAATGAGTTCTTGATTTTAACTTCATAACAAGTCTCATACAAAAAAATATGAAAGTTACATTTGAAATTTATATGTATAAGATATATGAGAGGGCTATTCAATTGGAATGGTAGCCCATGCTTATTGTCTCTTGATAGGCTAATCCACTTTAGTATATAATTTACTAAGTTGACCCCCACCCTTTTAAATTTGTGGAGTCAATACTCTTTACTATTTTTTTTCAACACATATATATGCAGCCTCGCCCTTGATTTGAATCTATTACATTGGATTGACTCTAAAACCTCATTTGCTTTTCAGTAAATTATTTACCTAGGTAAATGTAGTTATCTGGGTAAGTTTTTCTTGGGAAACACTTACCCGAGTAAGTGCATTTACTCATGTTCTTTTATTTCTCATGTAAATAAGGCAATGACCATTTTAGCCATAAAAATTCATTATTAAAAGGGGTATTTGTGTCTCATTCAAGTCGGGGCAACTTCCTCCCTAGGTGGAAAAGTTATTTACCCACCTAGGAGATGGATATCACTTATCCGGGTAAGTGGTACCCAGGAAAATAAACTTTCCCTGGTCCCCACATAAATCTGAAAAAAGAACATGGGATTCTTGGTCAATGGGAACCAAAATCCCATTGACCAACTTTCCCCCCTCTCAAAATCCAAAAAAAGAATGCCCCCTAAGTATTCAATGTATTAATGGTCCCAAATATATATCTTATGATGTGCACTGATATACTGCAATACTTTGAACCTTGATCTCCCCAATTCTCCCTTTTCCAATTGGCCACCCCCAATTTTTCTAGTTTTGGCCATTGACACCAGTGACCAACAATGTATTGTGTAGAAGATATTCCAACATCAACAATGAATGATTGGCATATGGATGAAATGATCAAAAGGATAGATGTTTTATTTCTTCTTCTTAATTTAAATATAATTCTCAATTTCGCGCTGAATTCTTCTTCTTCTTCTTCTTCTTCTTCTTCTTCTTCTTTTTTGATAGGTAAAAGAGAACTAAATTTAAAGCAATTTACAGTAATTTAGGTCCAGCCATGTGGGAGCATTCTTCCAATACCAGAAAAATATCAATGATTTTAGCCTCTTAGGCTACCATGTGAGTGGTGAAGTAAGTTCCCAAGATCTAAAGTAAATATTTACAAAAGTAAAATCATTGCATAAGTTCTTAAGGCTGCATTTGGAAACAATGCAAATAGAGTGTAAATCCCTGTTGGGTAAAATTGCACTTTGGTTCACTTTTGCTTGTATTTGACAACATTACATTTATGCATTGACAAATGATAAGAAAACACATTTTCCCATGCATGTTTACAATGTAAAAGTACATAAAAAAAAGGCATATGTTTTATTGGAATTCGTGTTTGCATTCATTGAAACTAAAAATCTGTTTGGTAAAAAGGTAATTTTGTCGGTGCAAAACTAACCCAACTTTGCAATTTAATTATATGAACCATTTTACACTCTACATATTTGCATTTACACTTATTTTCATCATTTCCAAACATAGCCTAATTTTTTCAAGATAGTGTTCCAGACGCCAATCAAAAAAAGTCTAAGTATCCTTCCAGAGCATCCACTAAAGCTTTGGTTGGCATCTGTGAAGATTAATAAATTGGTTCATCCACACTCTCGCAAAAAAAAAAAAAAAACAGACTTTGAAGAACAACAACACACTCAGCTTCCAAGGAGCTGCAAATGGAATCAACCTTGTTACCAAAGAAAGATCCTTGATTATTACTAAGAAAACCTCCATCACAAGCTATGTATATGCTTTATCATTGAATTCGTTGGGATTCCTTTTCTGTTGGGGCAAAGAAGGGTTGGCATTCTTGGATTTTGTTTAAAGCACAAGAGGGCATCCTTGGATTCATTTTTGAAAATGGCATCATTCCTTAATTTTCATATAAAGTACCAAGCAACAGCAAGCCAAAATAAGGCAGAGCCTCTTGAAAATTCTGAAGATTATGGGGAAACACAATAGACCATGGGCTAGCAAATAGCACTGCTCTGGCCAAAAAGGACACCATAAGGAAAGATGCATTGAATTTTACGCATTATTATCACATAGAGAACAAGTTGAGTTTCCAAGTAGCCCTCTGTTCAAGAGCTCAGTTTTACATAAGACAAGTTATCTTATAAACCTCCAGAGAAATAGTTTGAATTTTGGAGGAATTTTTAGCTTCCAAGCTAATTTAATCCATTTCACACTCACAGAAGGCAGACCCAGGTCTTGGTTTTTCCAAAAAGAATCATAGATCTGCCTTGTAGAGAATTTTCCATTCTGGAGATTAGTCCACAAAAAGAAATTATTCGATTGATCATTTGATATATTTGTGTTAAGAATTAAATCCATATAATCAGGGAGTGTGGACTGAATTTTATCAGTATCCCAACCATCA